AGACTATGTTGAGAATGTGGAGGAAAAGGGCTTCACTTTGGGCAACGTGCTTGCTTTAAATAGCAAGAGCTGTGATACTATAAAGTGGTATTTAGGTAGATATAATATTAGTCCATACTATAAACACATTTGATGATACATCTTTGAGGTTTAAGATGATTTTGACGGCCCGGGCCAAGACGGAGCAAACGCATGTGACAGGTTTTCTTAAGAAAATGAAGTAAAATGGCTTGACTATAACGGACCAGTTTTCTTTAAATGCGATGTACTGTGACACTGAAAAGGGGCATTTAGATAGATATAATACCATCCTATAGATGTAAACATATTTGATGATACATATGTGACGTTTACACTGACTGCCCGGGCCAAGTCGGACCCATCTCTTGTGAGACTATGTTGAGGATATGGAGAAATGAGATTCACTTTAACCAACGTGTCTGCTTTAAATACGATGAACAGTGACATTGTAAAGTAATATTTACTTAGATATAGTGACATGCTATAGGTTATAAGTGCTATGCCTGACAGGTGGAAATTTGTATCACGATAGTTGGAAGTTTTGGAGACGTTTCAAATCCAATTTCGTTTAACGATTCTTCTTTTACATGTAAGCTAACTCAGCCACGCCCATAAACAGCTAGACTTCCTGATTTTCAAGCGATTAACTTGTAAAGGCGTTAAGATGATGTGGCATTCCGTAATTAGTACGATGTTCTAGTATAAGCATATACACTTAGACAGATATTTACTATGATAACGATCCAGGGATAAATAAACGCAGGTCGGGTTGCTATTATTTCCTTGGTTACAGATAATAGTTAATTATAAGTTGACTTTTTTTAACACTTTTTCATAAGATGAAAGAAATATTGGTGCAGGAACAGACTAGCATTTAACAATAAAACCGTCATGCAATCGCGTTACTCAATAGACACTATAAAAGGTGCCATTTTTAACTATGTATTTCTCAGTTTATGATATCAGTAAATCATTTATTGATTCAAAAGAATGAATTAATATCACAAATTCGATTTATGATGTCATGTTATATTTATTGATATCGCATAATCGATTTTTAGATAAAAGTAAAATAATTTATTACATCATATAATGTATTTTAGCATATAAACAATCGAATTTGTAATATTATAAAAATCAAACGTAGTTTTTCATATCACAAATTGTTATAGTTATATTCGCTAGAGTGTTTTGTATTTGGGCGCGAGCATATCGGTAGATATATATTTATTTGCATTCCTCCTACTCTACTGGGTGAATGCTTGTTACTCAACGTTTGGTGTTTTGCAGGGTGTCCTTCTCGCTAAAATAAAGCAATACTGACCACATTAATTGTTAATGGTGGTTATATATCTTTAGCCTCTGTCTCCATGACATTAGGCCCATTTTTGAATAGTTCGTGTACATAGATAGATTATCGTAACATTCACATCTATAGTTATATTCAGATGATGTCTGTGCATGTATGTAATCATGGCGAACGTCTTCTCATATTTGATAAGTTTTCCTCCTGGCTATTCTGGGAATATAAGCTTTAGGATTACAGATGTATCGGTGTATTAAAACGCGATTTGAATATTATTATTTACTATCTTACTTACTACATGCTTTACATGAGGCGTTTCATGTTTACATGTCACCACAAATTACAATTATTGCTTGTGAGTCCAACACAATTGACAAATACTCGAAAACATACTATTGATGTACGTTGAAAAGAATATAAATTGTAAATGACACAATGATGTATCAAGGATCGAGTAGAAGATATATTGACAGTAGCGCGTGGAGTTTATGCAACAGACCTGTGAAACAGCACTACTCTATATGCCATTTCAACTGACACAGTCAAAGCTCAATGTTTACCTCTTCTAGCGGCCATTATCCAACGGCCATCTTGCCATCTTATACCCAAACCCGCGCTCACGTCTACAGGTCTCTTCCTGCTGTAAGGCAATTAGTAGAGTGAGTGAGTATGGTTTTACGCCGCCTTTAGCAATATTCCAGCGATATCACGGCGGGGGAACCAGAAATGGGCTTCACAGGCAATTAGTAGAACCCTCTCCCTCAGATGTATCCTCCATGATATAACCTACTCTCATTAAGTAAATGCTGCCCTTTCTCAGCGTCACGGCTACCGATTTGAGACAAAGAGACCCATGCATCATAAAGAAATTAGGGTCCAAAAAAACAATGCTCCATCAAACCTCACTGGAAGTCGTACAAAAGACGTTTAATGTCAAGTCACACAAACTTTTCAAAGACAATAACATTTTCCAGGAGCATGTATTCTCTTAACACCATCGCAAAAGATCACGTAGAAGCCAATGGTCGTATAAATAAGGTAGAACAGATTGATCACAACAGATTTTCCAACAAAATCACATCTAAAAAAGAGACATCAGCAGGGACATCATTAAATCGTCAGAATATAAAAAAAATGCTCTCCTTGTTACCACTTCAAATCTCAGCTGAACATGGTTCGCTAGTCACGCCAAAGACCCGTGTTCGATTCCCGACATTGGTACAAAGTGTGAATCTCATCTATGGTATCCCCCGCCGTGATATTGCTGGAATATTGCTAAAAGCGCCGTGAAACCATACTCACTCACTCACTTACTATTCATGTTAAACTGCGGCATTGAATGTCAGTGGATTAGCACTGTCGTCCTTGAATGTTACACATTTCTGTTTACACTAATGTCGTCCTATAATGCCACAATCTTCTGTTAACATCACTGCCTTCTCTGAACACTCACCATCTTCTGTTGACATCATTGTCTTCTCTGAACACTCACCATCTTCTGTTGACATCATTGTCTTCTCTGAACACCACCATCTTCAGTTAGCATCACTGTCATCTCTGAACACTCACCATCTTCTGTTGACATCATTGTCTTCTCTGAACACCGCCCTCTTCTGTTGACATTATTGTCTTCTCTGAACACCACCATCTTCAGTTAGCATCACTGTCATCTCTGAACACTCACCATCTTCTGTTGACATCATTGTCTTCTCTGAACACCGCCCTCTTCTGTTGACATCATTGTCATCTCTGAACACTCACCATCTTCTGTTGACATCATTGTCTTCTCTGAACACCACCTCTTCTGTTGACATCATTGTCTTCTCTGAACACCACCATCTTCAGTTAGCATCACTGTCATATCTGAACACTCACCATCTTCTGTTGACATCATTGTCTTCTCTGAACACCGCCCTCTTCTGTTTACATCATTGTCTTCTCTGAACACTCACCATCTTCTGTTGACATCATTGTCTTCTCTGAACACCACCATCTTCAGTTAGCATCACTGTCATCTCTGAACACGACCATCTTCTGTTGACATCACTGTCATCTCTGAACACTCACCATCTTCTGTTTACATCATTGTCTTCTCTGAACACTCACCATCTTCTGTTGACATCATTGTCTTCTCTGAACACCACCATCTTCAGTTAGCATCACTGTCATCTCTGAACACGACCATCTTCTGTTGACATCAGTGTCATCTCTGAACACTCACCATCTTCTGTTGACATCATTGTCATCTCTGAACACTCACCATCTTCTGTTGACATCATTGTCTTCTCTGAACACTCACCATCTTCTGTTGACATCATTGTCTTCTCTAAACACTCACCATCTTCTGTTGACATCACTGTCATCTCTGAACACTCACCATCTTCTGTTGACATCATTGTCTTCTCTGAACACCGCCCTCTTCTGTTGACATCATTGTCATCTCTGAACACTCACCATCTTCTGTTGACATCATTGTCTTCTCTGAACACCACCTCTTCTGTTGACATCATTGTCTTCTCTGAACACCACCATCTTCAGTTAGCATCACTGTCATATCTGAACACTCACCATCTTCTGTTGACATCATTGTCTTCTCTGAACACCGCCCTCTTCTGTTTACATCATTGTCTTCTCTGAACACTCACCATCTTCTGTTGACATCATTGTCTTCTCTGAACACCACCATCTTCAGTTAGCATCACTGTCATCTCTGAACACGACCATCTTCTGTTGACATCACTGTCATCTCTGAACACTCACCATCTTCTGTTTACATCATTGTCTTCTCTGAACACTCACCATCTTCTGTTGACATCATTGTCTTCTCTGAACACCACCATCTTCAGTTAGCATCACTGTCATCTCTGAACACGACCATCTTCTGTTGACATCAGTGTCATCTCTGAACACTCACCATCTTCTGTTGACATCATTGTCATCTCTGAACACTCACCATCTTCTGTTGACATCATTGTCTTCTCTGAACACTCACCATCTTCTGTTGACATCATTGTCTTCTCTAAACACTCACCATCTTCTGTTGACATCACTGTCATCTCTGAACACTCACCATCTTCTGTTGACATCATTGTCTTCTCTGAACACCACCATCTTCTGTTGACATCATTGTCATCTCTGAACACTCACCATCTTCTGTTGACATCATTGTCTTCTCTGAACACCACCATCTTCTGTTGACATCATTGTCATCTCTGAACACTCACCATCTTCTGTTGACATCATTGTCTTCTCTGAACACCACCATCTTCTGTTGACATCATTGTCATCTCTGAACACTGCCCTCTTCTGTTAACATCACTGTCATCTCCAAACACCACCGTTGTCTTTTTAAGAACACCAACGTCTTCTGTTGTTATCATTTTCTTCTCTGAACACCGCCCTCTTCTGTTAACATCACTGTCCTCTACAAACACCACCGTTGTCTTTAAACACCACCGTCTTCTGATGACATCGTTGTCATCTCTGAACAACGCCCTCCTCTGTTAACATCACTGTCATCTCCAAACACCGCCGTTGTCTTTAAACACCAGCGTCTTCTATAACCACCCGTTTCTTTAATCATCATCTTCATCCTCCCTAAACTGCAGCACCACTGTCCCCATTCAAGCTCCTCACTTTTGATGCTGATATTTTTCAAAATAATTCATTTCAGATAATACCAGAGACACTCCAAACAATGAGGAATCCATGCTGGTGGGAAAATCACCCCGGCGAAACTACTTGTGACAAGTTGAGACTCATGAACAAGGCATTGAAACTGCCTGGTACCCAAGAGAATGGGCCAGTTCTGAGGTGTTTGCCGTATTTCTATCTCATTGGTCAAGCAAAATGTGGAACCACAGACCTATTTACAAGAATCACCCAGCATCCTAGTATACTGTCACCCATGACAAAGGAACCATTTTGGGTTTTTCCTCTACGATTCCGTGAGTATTCAGTCGACTGAGTGAGTGAGTGAGTGTGACTACGGTTAAACGCCGCTGTTAACATTATTCCAGTTATATCACGGCGTGTCAGCTTAATGTTGGAGGAAGGCCGAAGTAGTGCAGGTCTAAGACGTTTACCACTTTGGTGAAACCCACGAGCACGGGTATGGTGCTGACAAACCTAGAAACATAATCGTGGCGAACCGGGATTCGAACCCACAATCATAGGTTTCTGGATTGCCCAAGGGACGCAACTCTGCACAGCGAATCGCGGCTCTTTAGACGACTGGGCCACCGGTGCTCCCGCTTGCAGTCAAGGTATTTGGTACATATTTTATGAGCAAACATCTGTTCTATCAACTGCTGAATATATACTGAGTGAGTGAATATAGTTTAACGCCGCCTTTAGCAATTTTCCAGCAATATTATGGCGAGGGGCACCAGGAATGGGATTCACACATTGTACCCATGTAGGGAATCGAAACCGGGTCTTCGGCGTGAACCACTGCCCCCTGAATATATAAGATCGATATAAAAATGGCATGAGCAGTACACAACAAAATAGGGAAGAATGACCTCAATAGACAACACATTCAAGAAAAATATGTTAAGTAAATTGCTTTTCGTCATGTGGATAGTGTCCAACGATAATTATGTGGGATGCGTTCCAACAAAGTGTTTGGTTTTACGCCGTTTTTATCCGGGGTAGAATAGTTCTTCGGCAACCAATGCTATGACTATGGCTGTCGTAAGAGGATCGGATGGTGAGGCTCGCTTACTTGGTTGAAGCATGTCATCGAATCCCAACATTAAGTGTTGACATCATGCATTGTAACCATGTAGGGAATCGAATATATGTATGTACTCCTATTGAACGCGTAGTTTCGGCTGCCCAAGCGGAACGTGTTTCACTTTTTCGCATTTTCTGCAATAAAACCGTTACGTGGATATGTATCACTTTCTACATTAAGCATGGTGTGTGTGGACGATGTGTTTTGCGGCGACTAATTTGAACTTGTATTTGTATTTTTTTGAAATTGCGTTTTTAAATTTTGAAGTTTCATTTTGACGTCAGTTTATTATCAAAGAAGGTCTTTCTTTATATTCACAGAAAGTATTTGTGGCAAGCTCAGTTGTCTTTGATGGGCATTTAGGTGTAGGATAAAAAAAAACAACTTTTTTTCATGATATTAAAACCCAAACCCAATGGGAATAAAATGTTTTATTTAACTTATAAACCGAAAAGAAATTTTATAAAAAAAAATACGTTTCAAACATACTTTCCATGAGCCTTAGGAAACAGGGTAAAATATCCCCCTCTGACGTACATTTACATGTGAGGTGAAATGGTATTTAACGTCGCGTCAAAGATTATTGCACTGATATAGCGACATGCAGGCACGTGTGTGTGTGGCTGCTTGTACTAGTCCGGACTTATGCCGATTTATAGTGCCAGCACACTGAAATACTATGCCGCAGTTTAACATAAATACCCCACTCAGACACAGTATACTGACTCCGAGCCGACCAGTCCTTGTTTCAAGCCCCTTAATGCCGAGCGCCAGACAGGGTAACAAAATACCATCTTATAACGTCTTTTGGAATGACGCAGACGAGGATGGAACCCGGGACCTTCCGCTCTCCGGGCGGACGCACTACCACTAGACCACGGAGGCGGTCATCATGTACATGTAAATGAACGAGAGATTCATTAAAGCATTGCCATTTTATCAGCGCCTCTGTAGCCTATCGGTTCAAACACTGGGCTGCAGATGCAAAGATTGCTTTAGAAAACATTTGTCATTTAATTTTGCATCATTCCGCACATTTCCGAACGTACTTTGTGTTCAAATTCAATCAATCAATCTTTATTCAAGCACTTAAGAGGCCCCAGGACTATAGTACATGTGACAGAGATGTTGTCACACAATTTTTACTATTATTTACAAATTTGGTTCTGTATAACAGTACGTGGAATATATACATGGCTACATTTTGTATTATTAATTTATCTAGACTGTATAACAATCGCGATATTTCACAATATTTGGATCATTAAAGTGGTAGAATATATATATTTTTTCTCACAGTGGAGTACAATGGACATACAAGTACAAAGTGATATTCATCCTCTATATCCTGGCTAGCACACATTTTACATAATCGTTCTGACCTTGGAGTATTTGTGTATCTCCCACTCTCGATGCATAAATCATGGAATGAACATCGAAATCTTGCCAGTGAATTGCGGTATTTCTTTATATTTGCACAAAACAGATATTGTTTAGTGTATATATGAGTTTTCAACTTTCTTAAATATACAAATTTATGCGATGTCAACGAAAATGACAACGATTGCAGATAAATATCTTTTAGCCTCTGTAGGAAAGAATTGGTAAATACACTTTCAGATTGTATAAATTAATCATACCAAACATTTCCAAAACCACTATTGAATAACTTTTTTTTCACATCAGTTACCCAATTAGTCTTTCCATTCGTGACGTTTTACATCATCGTATTGTAACATTTCTAAGGGTATCTCTATAAATTCATTTTAAGGAGTTTCAGCCAGTACTTCATGAATTTCAACTGTGAATATATAAATAGAGAAAACCTACCACATTCTCCATAAACCATTGCGCTAGATGTGTTGGGTTTTACACCAAGAATTTTTTTACATGCAAATAAGTGGATTATATGAAAACATATCTAGCAAAAGACATTCATATGTTACAGTATCACCGGACATTATATTTCGAAAATCGCGGGGATATTATAATATTCCCGTACATAACTAGAACAATAGGATCACTGAAGTTTCATAAAAGTTGGAAAAACATGAGGACATGGGTTTTATGGATAACATGTTCTTTATTGATTGTAACTACGTTTATGGTTTACTTCAGGGAAATGATGAGTGAGTGAGTATAGTTTCACGCCGCTTTTAGCAATATTCCAGCAATTTCACGGCGAGGGACACCAGAAACGGGCTTCACACATTGTACCCATGTGGGGAATCGAACCCGGGTCTTCGGCGTGACGAGAGAACGCTCTAACCGCTTACTACCCCACCGCCTTCAAGGGAATGGTGAAGGGACAAGAAACGTTACTACTTGAGCGATGACTCCCGGGTTATATTTGCGATCGGCTTGAAAAACAAGATTGTGAACGAGAGGAAGAACAAGCAGTAGTGGGGAGATCTTAATGTCCTCTGTGAGGTAAGGGTTAGGAGCCAGGAGATTTAAAATACCACATGCACAGCAACACGCACACACCAAGACATGTACAACAACCTTTTTGTACTCGATTACAACGCACACCAACACATGTACAACAACCTCTTTGTACTCTCTCACAACGCACACCAACACACGTACAACGACCTCTTTGTACTCTCTCACAACGCACACCAACACATGTAACACAACCTCTTTGTACTCTCTCACAACGCACACCAACACATGTACAACAACCTCTTTGTACTCTCTCACAACGCACACCAACACATGTACAACAACCTCTTTGTTCTCTCTCACAACGCACACCAACACATGTACAACATCCTCTTTGTTCTCTCGCACAACGCACACCAACACATGCACAACAACCTCTTCGTACTCTCTCACAACGCACACCAACACATGCACAACAACCTCTTTGTACTCTCTCACAACGCACACCAACACATGTACAACATCCTCTTTGTTCTCTCTCACAACGCACACCAACACATGTACAACAACCTCTTTGTTCTCTCTCACAACGCACACCAACACATGTACAACAACCTCTTTGTACTCTCTCACAACGCACACCAACACATGTACAACAACCTCTTTGTACTCTCTCACAACGCACACCAACACATGTACAACAACCTCTTTGTTCTCTCTCACAACGCACACCAACACATGTACAACAACCTCTTTGTACTCTCTCTTAATGACATCTGTGAGGTAAGGGTTAGGAGCCAGGAGATTTAAAATACCACATGCACAGCAACACGCACACACCAAGACATGTACAACAACCTTTTTGTACTCGATTACAACGCACACCAACACATGTACAACAACCTCTTTGTACTCTCTCACAACGCACACCAACACACGTACAACGACCTCTTTGTACTCTCTCACAACGCACACCAACACATGTACAACAACCTCTTTGTTCTCTCTCACAACGCACAACAACACATGTACAACAACCTCTTTGTACTCTCGCACAACGCGTGTACAATATAATCTCGATATCCTCTCATTCCATTCCACATGTACCACAGGATCTCTGTCTCTCGCACACCACCTGTGCAACAGGATCTTTGTACTCTCTCATACCACATAAACAATAGGCTCGTTGTATTCGCTCGTACCACATGTACAATACGCTCTTTGTACTCTCTCATATACCCGTTGTTCTCTCTCAAACCACATGAACAATGTATTCTCTTATACAACATAAACAATAGGCCAATAGTACTCTCTCCTACCACATGAACAGTGCACTCTTTGTATTCTCTCCTACCACATGAACAATACGTTCTTTGAACTCTCTCACACAACATGAACAATTCACTCTTTGTATGCTCTCACACAGCATGAACAATTCACTCGTTTTACTCTCTCACACCACATGAACAATTCACTCCGGTACTCTCTCACACCACATGAACAATTCACTCTTTGTACTCTCTTACACCACATGAACAATTCACTCTTTGTACTCTCTTACACCACATGAACAATTCACTCCGGTACTCTCTCACACAACATGAACAATTCACTCTTTGTATGCTCTCACACAGCAAGAACAATTCACTCGTTTTACTCTCTCACACCACATGAACAATTCACTCTTTGTACTCTCTCACACAACATGAACAATGCACTCTTTGTACTCTCTCACACCACATGAACAATTCACTCCGGTACTCCCTCACACAACATGAACAATTCACTCTTTGTACTCTCTCACACTACGTGAACAATGCACTCTTTGTACTCTCTCACACAACATGAATAATTCACTCTTTGTACTCTCTCACACAACATGAACAATTCACTCCGGTTCTCTCTCATACAACATGAATAGTTCACTCTTTGTACTCTCTCACACAACATGAACAATTCACTCCGGTACTCTCTCACACCACATGAACAATTCACTCTTTGTACTCTCTTACACCACATGAACAATTCACTCTTTGTACTCTCTTACACCACATGAACAATTCACTCTTTGTACTCTCTTACACCACATGAACAATTCACTCCGGTACTCTCTCACACAACATGAACAATTCACTCCTTGTTCGCTCTTACACCACATGAGCAATTCACTCCGGTACTCTCTTACACCACATGCACAATTCACTCCGGTACTCTCTCACACAACATGAACAATTCACTCTTTGTATGCTCTCACACAGCAAGAACAATTCACTCGTTTTACTCTCTCACACCACATGAACAATTCACTCTTTGTACTCTCTCACACAACATGAACAATGCACTCTTTGTATGCTCTCTCACACCACATGAACAATTCACTCCGGTACTCTCTCACACAACATGAACAATTCACTTTTTGTATGCTCTCACACAGCAAGAACAATTCACTCGTTTTACTCTCTCACACCACATGAACAATTCACTCCGGTACTCTCTCACACAACATGAACAATTCACTCTTTGTACTCTCTCACACTACGTGAACAATGCACTCTTTGTACTCTCTCACACAACATGAATAATTCACTCTTTGTACTCTCTCACACAACATGAACAATTCACTCCGGTACTCTCTCACACAACATGAACAATTCACTCTTTGTACTCTCTCACACCACATGAACAATTCACTCCGGTACTCTCTCACACAACATGAACAATTCACTCTTTGTATGCTCTCACACAGCAAGAACAATTCACTCGTTTTACTCTCTCACACCACATGAACAATTCACTCTTTGTACTCTCTCACACAACATGAACAATGCACTCTTTGTACTCTCTCACACCACATGAACAATTCACTCCGGTACTCCCTCACACAACATGAACAATTCACTCTTTGTACTCTCTCACACTACGTGAACAATGCACTCTTTGTACTCTCTCACACAACATGAATAATTCACTCTTTGTACTCTCTCACACAACATGAACAATTCACTCCGGTTCTCTCTCATACAACATGAATAGTTCACTCTTTGTACTCTCTCACACAACATGAACAATTCACTCCGGTACTCTCTCACACCACATGAACAATTCACTCTTTGTACTCTCTTACACCACATGAACAATTCACTCTTTGTACTCTCTTACACCACATGAACAATTCACTCTTTGTACTCTCTTACACCACATGAACAATTCACTCCGGTACTCTCTCACACAACATGAACAATTCACTCCTTGTTCGCTCTTACACCACATGAGCAATTCACTCCGGTACTCTCTTACACCACATGCACAATTCACTCCGGTACTCTCTCACACAACATGAACAATTCACTCTTTGTATGCTCTCACACAGCAAGAACAATTCACTCGTTTTACTCTCTCACACCACATGAACAATTCACTCTTTGTACTCTCTCACACAACATGAACAATGCACTCTTTGTATGCTCTCTCACACCACATGAACAATTCACTCCGGTACTCTCTCACACAACATGAACAATTCACTTTTTGTATGCTCTCACACAGCAAGAACAATTCACTCGTTTTACTCTCTCACACCACATGAACAATTCACTCCGGTACTCTCTCACACAACATGAACAATTCACTCTTTGTACTCTCTCACACTACGTGAACAATGCACTCTTTGTACTCTCTCACACAACATGAATAATTCACTCTTTGTACTCTCTCACACAACATGAACAATTCACTCCGGTACTCTCTCACACAACATGAACAATTCACTCTTTGTACTCTCTCACACAACATGAACAATTCACTCTTTGTACTCTCTCACACTACGTGAACAATGCACTCTTTGTACTCTCTTACACCACATGAACAATGCACTCCGGTACTCTCTCACACCACATGAACATTTCACTCCGGTACTCTCTCACACCACATGAACAATGCACTCCGGTACTCTCTCACACAACATGAACAATTCACTCTTTGTACTCTCTTACACCACATGAACAATGCACTCCGGTACTCTCTCACACCACATGAACAATTCACTCTTTGTATGCTCTCACACCACATGAACAATTCACTCTTTGTACTCTCTCACACCACATGAACAATGCACTCCGGTACTCTCTCACACCACATGAACAATTCACTCTTTGTACTCTCTTACACCACATGAACAATGCACTCCGGTACTCTCTCACACAACATGAACAATTCACCCTTTGTACTCTCTTACACCACATGAACAATGCACTCCGGTACTCTCTCACACCACATGAACAATTCACTCTTTGTACTCTCTTACACCACATGAACAATGCACTCCGGTACTCTCTCACACAACATGAACAATTCACTCTTTGTACTCTCTTACACCACATGAACAATGCACTCTGGTACTCTCTCACACCACATGAACAATTCACTCTTTGTACTCTCTTACACCACATGAACAATGCACTCCGGTACTCTCTCACACAACATGAACAATTCACTCTTTGTACTCTCTTACACCACATGAACATTTCACTCTTTGTACTCTCTTACACCACATGAACAATTCACTCTTTGTACTCTCTCACACCACATGAACATTTCACTCCGGTACTCTCTCACACCACATGAACAATTCACTCTTTGTATGCTCTCACACCACATGAACAATTCACTCTTTGTACTCTCTCACACCACATGAACAATTCACTCTTTGTACTCTCTTACACCACATGAGCAATTCACTCCGGTACTCTCTCACACCACATGAACATTTCACTCCGGTACTCTCTCACACCACATGAACAATTCACTCTTTGTACTCTCTCACACCACATGAACAATTCACTCTTTGTACTCTCTTACACCACATGAGCAATTCACTCCGGTACTCTCTCGCACAACATGAACAATTCACTCCGGTACTCTCTCATACCACATGAACAATTCACTCCGGTACTCTCTCACATGAACAATGAAAGCTAAACATTACAACACACTTATAATTGGTATGATATGAAATGGTTGTTTAAAAAAGTTGTTTTATATATAAAAAAATGCCAAAAACACTACCACAATTAAAAAAACGTCTGATGGTGGTCAGAGAATGCCCCGAAAATACGAGTTACAAGCTTCAGATAATTGGAAATAAATGGAAAGTACCCACCATCAAAGAAGTATAAGGTGTCTATCGTATTTTCATTTAATCGGTATGGCAAAGCGTGGAACTACAGGAATGTTCTCCGGAATTACCCAACACTTGAATACTCTACCCCTTGATTAAAGTAACACTGTGACTTTCACCGGTGCGATTCGATGAGAAGGGAACTGAAGTATGTGGTATTTGTATCTATTTAATAGTGAGATAGCCGTCAACTAATTTCTACACTAAATACAGACCGTAATATTTGGTTCACATTCGTCATTACTCGTTAAAAGATCTAGCTGTCTGATAGGCCAGTCCCCTTTTTGTAAAAAAACAAGTCAGTTGGGGTAACCCCCATATACAAATATAGATTTTGTTATCATGTCAATAGCTTTTTTTGAGGGCACGAGAAAAACATATTGACATCAGAGCTCGTTTTTCGGGTTAACTCATCATATCTGTATTGTTAATTGTGAATGTGTGTAGAATTAAAATACTTTAATTGTCGTGCATCTTGTTGTCTGTAATATTTATGTTTATCTGTGTGGTTTGTTTTATTCTACAAATGTGATGTTTGTTTCAGCATTTTGATCTACATGCTATTAACTGATATGTATTTTGCTGTACGTTGGAAAATGTCTGAAATATTGCCAATGCGACGTTAAATTCTTAACCACTCACAGAGATGTAGGTCGCCCTACACTTCATCCTACATGCAGTTTCATATTTCAGAAAAAGGTTGTTCATCGATTGAGACATACCTAGACTTTCTTCAAACCTCCTCTAACAGAATAAAGGAAAACTATTTAGCAAGCAGCGTCAGCGCACTAATCACAGGTAGGTAGTTACATTGCTGATGGTGCCACAGTCAGGTCTGGATAACTTCCCCCATCAGCCATGCGAGTAGATAGGTAACATACTCCTGTAGAAAACCATTTTCCATAACCAGCCACATATAGTTCATATTTAAATGTATTAATATAGTGTAATATTTAATCATATTGTCATTATTATTCAGAAACATCGCCTAACCATCTTTTTTCGTCTGGTATCTAAGTTAAAAGTTCGCGGAATCCATATGTTGTATTAAGGAGTTGAGGTATAAAAGGGAGTGAGTGAGTATGGTTTTACGTCGCTTTTAGCAATATTCAAGCAATATCACGGCGGGGGACATCAGAAATTCACACATTGTACCCATGTCGGGAATCGAAGCCGGGCCTTCAGCGTGACGAGCGAACGCTTTAACCACTAGGCTACCCGACCATCCCTTATAAAATGGAGGTGTATACGCATAAACCAGAGTGCACACTATTTTTACGTTTATAACTCCAAAAAGGGAACAAAGTACATTGAATTCATTCTAAAACTATCTAAGTCAACAATATAAAATTCATAAATTGTCATAAGCACAACATACTGTTGACAACGATTCGAAATTAGTGACATTATTCAGCGCAATAATGCAATACAAGCCCCGCCCACCCTATTATCAGCCAATTAGGAAACAGTAATATGGATGTGTTTCATGGCAATTTGCTATTCTGATTGGGCCACACCACATCTAAACATGCCAGTGTAAACAAACTAGATCTAAACTAAGCATGTTATTCGTGATTTAACCTTCAGTCACATACACCTTTTTAGTGGAGGGTCCATTGTGAGTTTTGTGATAAAAGAATGAAACTTCGCACAATTGTAGGTAATGACCTTCAATATATTTTCAGATAAAGGACCACCTAAAAAATCCAATATGGCCGCCAAATTCAATATGGCCGCCATGGGGGAATGATCTATGTTGTCTACACAGACTAATTCTGTCTTCTTCCTTATTTGAAACAGCATTCCACAAAGTGACATATGCATTATACATGTTTGTTGTACGTTGGCAGGCGTTGGTTGCAATGTATCTTACCGTGGTTCTTGTAGGGGATGGGTCTACCACTACCATGTCCGGAAACACCTGGTGGAATATGTTGCCTGGCAACGAGGGATGTGAAGAGCCGTGTATCACCAATGCCAACATTGTGTATCAGATGAACCCGAAAGCGAAGATACTTGTGTCATTAAGGAACCCTGCGTCCCGGTATGAGTGAAGACGCAGCCATAAACCAAATTTTGTATTTTCATATTCACTAAAGCCGTGAGTAGGGTCATCACCAAGCAAAGATTGGTTGGTTTGTTGTTTAACGCCGCACTCAGCAATATTCCAGCTACATGACGGCGGTCTGTAAAATAATCGAGTCTGGACCAGACAATCCAGTGATTGACATCATGAGCATCGATCCACGCAATTAGGATCGATGACATGTATCAACCAAGTCAGCGAGTCTGACCACCCGATCCCGTTAGTCGCCTCTTACGACAAGCATAGTCCTTTTACGGCAAGTATGGGTTGCTGAAGACCTATTCTACCCCGGATACCTGTGGTACCGCCTAAGGCAGGTGACCCAGCAATGAATGGGTACCCGGTCGTATAAGATGGTGATGTGGCATATCATCATCATCATCATCATCATCATCATCATCATCATCATCATCTCCTCCTCTTTCGGGGGCACGGGTGGCCCAGTCGTTTAAGGCGCTGCGATTCGCCGTGAGGAGTTGCGTCCCCCGGACACGCCAGAAACCTATGATTGTGGGTTCGAATCCTGGTTCACCCCTATTACGTTTCTAGGTTTGTCAGCACCATACCCGTGCTCGTGGGTTTCACCGAAGTGGTAAACGTCTGAGACCTGCATCACTTCGGGCTTTCCTCCCACATTAAGCTGACACGTCATGATATAACGGGAATAATGTTAAAAGCGACGTTAAACCCTACTCACTCACACACTTACTCCTCCTCCTCCTCCTCCTCCTCCTCCTCATCATCATCATTATTATTGTATTTGTTGCAGGTCGTTTTCCTACTACATTATGAAGGCTCGAATTTTGAAGTACAACGTTTCCAAGGAACATTTTCATGGTCTAGTGGTCAACGAAATTACCGAGTTTCAAAACTGCATTTCTCGCTCATCTCTCCGTTCCTGTGTGATGAACTCAACAGAGGAGAATTACCTCATCACAGCGGTAAAGCTTGACGATTTGAATACATGCACACACACACACACGCACACACAAACCTGTCTTGTAAACGTTTGACTTTAGGTTCGTTTGTTGTTTAACGACACACTCAGCAATATTCCCGCTTTATGATGGCGCTATGTAAATAATCAAGTCTGGACCAGACAATCCAGTGATTGACATCATGGACATCGATCTAAACGATAGGGATACGATGACATGCATCTACCAAGTCAACAAGCCTGACCACCCGATCCCGTAAGTCGCCCCACAAGCATGGGTTGCTGAAGATCAATTCTAACCCAGATCTTCACGGGTGCATTAAACTTAAGGCAGGTATTTGGTGAAGAAGACTCACCGACCAGTGACCGCCTCCGTGGTCTTGTGGTAGAGCGTCCGCCCGGAGAGCGGAAGGTCCGGGGTTCGATCCCGGGCCGCGTCATACAAAAAGACGTTAAAAGATTGTACTTGTTGTTACCCTGTCTGGCGCTCGGCATTAAGGGGCTAAAACAAGGACTGGTCGGCTCGGAGTCAGTATACTGTGTCTGAGTGGGGTATTCATGTTAAACTGCGGCATGGTATCTCAGTGAGCTAGCACTATAAATCGGCATCAGTCCGGACTAGTACAAGCAGCCACACACACACATACACGTGCATGCACGTCGCTATATAAGTGCAATAATCTTGGACGCGACGTTAAACCCAATTTCACCTCACCTCACCTCACCTCACCTCACCTCACCTCACCTCACCGAACCTCACCGACCAGTATCGGGTTGTAAAGTCTCGCTATCCAACAAGACAAAAACGTAATTCCTTGATCACTAAATTGTCACTAAACGTAGTGACCACAGATATAGTTACATGTCTATCTTGAGAGGTTCAGGGCAACCTGACACTAAAGGAAAGCAAATGTCATCTGATGTTTACTGAGAAAACAATATGTGAAATGCTAGACTTCCTCACTGATTTAGGCAAGAAGTAGACATCCCCATGGGCACCAATTGTGCTCCCCTTCTTGTTGATCTGTTTCTTGATGCATATGAATCGGAATTTCATCCCGGATTGACAAAGTCAAACATGGAATTTGGTCAACTAGTTTAACTTAAGGTTCAGATATTTGGATGATCTGATATTCAGTACTGGTCAAATAGTAAATTCCCTTTCACTTATTTACTCACCTTGATTAACTAGAACCAAACGAGACCAGTGAAACCGCCTTATCTGTTGATTATATGTTCAGATGTTGCATCTAGCTTCAGAGTGACAAAATCTATGCACAAGACAATTTCCAGTTGTCAGCTTTCACTTTATGTCGGGTAGTGGTCCAGTGGCTCCAGCCTTTGGTGGCCACAGTTCACGAATTCTAGGTACCATCGAGTATGTTCTTACAACAGACACGCTTTGTACATGTAGTAGAGATTTCTTATGAATATGGAAAGTGTTTTTTTGCTTGTATTGCACACCACGAGACCGAAGTTCGAGGTTTTGGTTTGGTTTGGTTTGTTGTTTGACGCTGCACTCAGCTATATTCCAGCTATAAGACGGCGGTCTGTAAATAATCGAATCTGGACCAGACAATCCAGTGATTGACATCATGAGCATCGATCCACGCAATTAGGATACAATGACATACATCAACCAAGTCAGCGAGCCTGACCACCCGATACCGTTAGTGGCCTCTTATGACAAGCATGGGTTGCTGAAGAGCTATTGTAACCCGGGTCTTCATGGGTCCAAAATTCGAGGGATGCTCATGAACGTTTAGTATGTCCGTATATTTTTATACCTTACAAATACTTATTTCGGTGAAATATTTGTAAGGTATAAAACTAGATCTATCATGTGTCTGCTCTCTACAGGGTGGTAACGCGCAGTGCGACCAGAGAAAATTGTTTGTTAAGTTGAAAACTTGACTTGCCTTTGCATGTGTTTGTGCAGGTGCTCCAGTGCAGAAAGTGCGCTCATCATTTTACGAACACCTGATATCATCACTTTTTGATAATGATTCCTTGACACATGCTTATGAAATAGTCAGAATCGTACGATGGACTCTTCTTTTATCAGAGATTTCTTATGATTATGAAAAGAGATTTGTCGCTTTTATTTACATTGCCTTACGTTTCATCGTCGTTATCACCTCATCGTGTCAACTATAAATACAATTGTTCGTAAAAAATACGTGAACAAGTGGACATTGACAGACATATGTTTATTACAGATCGGCCTACGTTCAAGCATTTACCACATCCACTTACAAGACTGGATGAAGGTCTTCCCTCGAGAACAGATATATGTTGTCCATTTTGAACACTACATCAAACATATGCCAGACACTCTCGCTGGCGTTTACAATTTCCTTGAAGTGGGCAAGTATTCAGTTGTGTTTATGCTTTTGGTACGCTCGTACACCATTGATGCGAATTTCGCAAATGTTTTCCTGCTTCATGTATGGTCAGTGGCAAGCCAGAAGTAACAAGTGTATGCTTTTCCGTTCACAAAAGCGGATAGTGTGAGAGTTTCACCGTCGTGGTTTGGCGGCGGGGTAGCCCAGTGGTGAAAGCGTTCGCTCTTCACGCCGAAGCCCCGGGTTCGATTTCCCACATGGGTACAGAAGCCCAAATCTGGCGTCCCCGCCGTGATGTTGCTGAGTTAAAACCATACTCACTTCATCGAAATGGTAATATATTTTACCTACGACTTTTGTCTCTCGATGCATTAACTTCATTCGCCGTGAACACAATACCTATTTAATGCGATGCTATCCCAACTCTTTGTGCAATCTACACCAATACGTACACGCCTAATAAACTTTTAAAACACAACCCATCTCATTTGCTGAATGCTATTGTTATGTTCCATGTAGGGTATTCCAATGAGGTAGTTCTAAGAATATAATTATATGGTACCAAGCCTTAACAAAATTCGGTCTTGTTTTTTTCAGATTTACTATCGGACCAAGAGATGCAAAGAATTGCTGAACATAAAATCCAAAATCAGAGACCACTCTCTGGGCAAAAACTAGGTGACATGTTGCCGGAAACAAAGACTTTGCTGGATAAATTCTTCAAGCCCTTCAATGCACAATTAGCTACGCTCTTAGACAACGATGTGTTCACCTGGACAGTTTGAAAATAAAGTTTGGAATAAAGTATATGTATTTATTTGTACATGGTCATGGCAACAGACCAGTATTTGTACTACCAGGGGTCACGTCAATGGACCTTCACCTGTGATGGAATCAGAGGTGAGGTGAGGTGAAATGGGGTTTAACGTCGCGTCCAAGATTATTGCACTTATATAGCGACGTGCACGTACGTGTGTGTGTTTGTGTGGCTGCTTGTACTAGTCCGGACTAATGCCGATTTATAGTGCTAGCTCACTGAGATACCATGCCGCAGTTTAACATGAATACCCCACTCAGACTCAGTATACTGACTCCGAGCCGACCAGTCCTTGTTTTAGCCCCTTAATGCCGAGCGCCAGACAGGGTAACAACAAGTACCATCTTTTAACGTCTTTTGGTATGACGCGGTCGGGGATCGAACCCCGGACCTTCCGCTCTCCGGGCGGACGCTCTACCGTTAGACCACGGAGGCGGTCGAAGGAATCAGAAGGGATCTATGGATGATGCGCACAGATACAACACATTAGGATATCATTTCTACACAGTGTTACAGATATCGGTCAGTGGTTAAATAGTCAATGTCAGAGGTGTATTTATTGTGTATCAAGCATATAGGGTCTCTGCACACTATTTCTGACCAGACGTAAGGGATCGAGTGTGTGCGTTAATTTCAAGGGGTACCGAGTATATGAGAGTGAAACCAGTCAAGTCCCATTAATCCGACACTCGTTAATCCGACAATCGGCCTTATCCGACGCTAATGATGGGAACCGATTAAATCAGTGCTATTTAGACCCGTTAATCCGACAGTCTCGCACTCCGACTCCGACACACCTAATTTGCAACGAATTACCGAAATCACTCATTAATCAGTCTCGTTAATCCGACACAGTGGTCAGCGTACTCCGTGGTCATCTGTCCGTGAGTACACAGCCCGTGTTTTGATGCGAGACGAATTGGCGAGTAGCTGCATATTACAACAACAATATTAAACTTGCTTAACAATAAACAATTAATGCTTTTAATAGAAAGAAAACAGGATAAATCACATGCTTAGATTACCTTAAACTTATTAAAATCAGATACAAGTTCTCGTTCTCGATGAGGACATCCCATTACAGGTCACGTCAGAACAACCTTTCGCGAACTATGACCTACCAATGAAATGACAAACAGGAAGTCAACGTTAGCCACTTAGAAAGCAGCTTTCTTAAGCTTTGGGTACCAGTTTCAAAGTTGCGACTTCCATTCCCAACTATGCTGTTTAAAGTATTTTGAATAAGTCATAAAGTCCTTAACAGTTATTTTTTTGTTAAACCTTAGAGGTTGCATGATTAGAAAACATATTCCGCCAACAATGTAACATAACATTATGAACATTTATTTTATATTTTGTATTACGTGTTTGAATCCTTATATCTATCGTGTAGTTGTCCGATTTTCGATCACGAACGTTGATACTACTTAATTTCGTTTATCCGACATACACGTTAATCCGACATAATCATATGCAACCATCGATGTCGGATTAACGGGACTTGACTGAGTGAAACCAGGTTTGTGATAACGTGAAACCATGTATATGAGAGTGAAACCACATATATGAGAGTGAAACCATGTATATGAGAGTGAACCTAGGTATATGATAGCGTGAAACCAGTTGTATGAGAGTGAAACCAGGTATATGATAGCGTGAAACCAGGTATATGAGAGTGAAACCAGGTATATGAGAGTGAAACCGGGTATATGAGAGTGAAACCACGTATATGATAGCGTGAAACCATGTATATGGTAGCGTGAAACCATGTATATTAGTGTGAAACCAGGTATATGAGAGTGAAACCATGTATATGATGACGTGAAACCATGTACATGATGAGAGTGAAACCACATATATGAGAGTGAAACCAAGTATATGAGAGTGTAACCATGTATATGAGAGTGAACCTAGGCATATGATAGCGTGAAACCAGGTATATGAGAGTGAAACCAGGTATATGAGAGTGAAACCAGGTAAATGAGAGTGAAACCAGGTATATGAGAGTGAAACCACGTATATGAGAGTGAAACCAGGTTTATGAGAGTGATACCAGGCATATGGGAGTGAAATCACGTATATGAGAGTGAAACCACGTATATGAGAGTGAAACCATGTATATGAGAGTGAACCTAGGCATATGATAGCGTGAAACCAGGTAAATGAGAGTGAAACCAGGTATATGAGAGTGAAACCACGTATATGATAGCGTGAAACCATGTATATGGTAGCGTGAAACCATGTATATTAGTGTGAAACCAGGTATATGAGAGTGAAACCATGTATATGATGACGTGAAACCATGTACATGATGAGAGTGAAACCACATATATGAGAGTGAAACCATGTATATGAGAGTGTAACCATGTATATGAGAGTGAACCTAGGCATATGATAGCGTGAAACCAGGTATATGAGAGTGAAACCAGGTATATGAGAGTGAAACCAGGTAAATGAGAGTGAAACCAGGTATATGAGAGTGAAACCACGTATATGAGAGTGAAACCAGGTATATGAGAGTGATACCAGGCATATGGGAGTGAAATCACGTATATGAGAGTGAAACCATGTATATGAGAGTGAACCTAGGCATATGATAGCGTGAAACCAGGTAAATGAGAGTGAAACCAGGTATATGAGAGTGAAACCAGGTATATGAGAGTGAAACCACGTATATGAGAGTGAAACCAGGCATATGCTAGCGTGAAACCAGGCATATGAGAGTGATACCAGGCATATGGGAGTGAAACCACGTATATGAGAGTGAAACCACGAATATGAGAGTGAAACCACGTATATGAGAGTGAAACCAGTTTTAAGGTAACGTGAAACCGCGTATATGGTAGCGTGAAACCAAGTAAGTGAGAATGAAACAATTTATGTGAGAATGAAACCACGCATTTTAGAGTAAAACCACGTAGGCGAGAGTAAAACCACGCATGCAAGGACATGCCACAGACGCGACAAATTGGACAGTGGAAACATACCTCCAATATGAAACGATAAATCGGTTTGTGTAAATTTGTCTTAAGGTATATCCAGATATTTTACACATGTTTAGTTAAGCCATACTAAGATATCAAATGACAAGATTTTATCCGATAATCTGCTAAATCGTGTAGTGTAAATACGGCTTGATAAGTTATAAGTTCTTGCTAAGGAACGATATCAACAGGCTAAGCTATGGCAATGCTAGTAGCCATAACAAAGATTCCCTCTATTAATACACTGACGGTAATTGTCAACTATTTAGCTTACGTACAAAGATCGATACGTGTATTGATCTATAACCATTCAAGGTGGCCACACGCACCGAACAGCTGTACCGGAACACAGGTGAGTAGATTACAGGTACGGCTTATTCTGTGCTGACGTGCTGGACATACAGGTGTAAATGGACATATGTTGCTGTGGTGGATTCTGGACGTATTCCTTCAAAACCAAATCAATATCAAGTCATGTAGGTATACATTATTTATGTTTATATCTTTATTTCATATGCGGTCGTATGGCAGTTGAACTATCATAAGTCGCAGGCTCTTTACGTGGCGAATACGACGTGATGTATATCACTTACCACAACTTGAAATTGAGCTGCAAAGTGTTTTCTCGTCACCTCTACTACTACTACTACTACTACTACTACTACTACTACTACTACTACTACCACTACTACCACTACTACTACTACTACCACTACCACTACTACTACTACTACTACTACTACTACTACTACTACTACTACTACTACTACCACTACTACTACTACTACTACTACCACCACCACCACTACTACTACTACTACTACTACTACTACTACTACTACTACTACTACTACTACTTCCACTACTACCACTACCAAACAACTACTACTACTATGACTATGACTAATACTACTACTGCTGCCACTGCTACTACTACTACCATTACTACTACCACCACCACCACCACCACCACTACTACTACTACCACTACTATGAAAACGACTAATACAACTACTGCTGCTGATGCTACTAGTAGGACTACCACTATTATTATTACTACTATTACTACTACTGCTGCTGCTGCTGGGGCGGTCGGGAAGCCTAGTGGTTAAAGTGGTCGCTCGTCACCCGAAGACCCGGGTTCGATTCCCGACATGGGGACAATGTGTGAAGCCCATTTCTGGTGCCCCCCGCCGTGATATTGCTGGAATATTGCTAAAAGCGGCGTAAAATCAAACTCACTCATTCACCCACTACAACTACTACTACTACTACTACTACTACTACTACTACTACTACTACTACTACTACTACTACTACTACTACTTCTACTACTACCACTACTACTATTACTACCTACCATTACTACTACCATTGTTATAATCATAATGATAATAACACAATTACTTCTACTACTACCATGCGACTACTACTACTACTGCTACGACTATTACTACTACTACTTCTTTTACGCATTTTACGACTACGACATGTTCTACGACTACTCCTACTACAGCTACTGCTACAGCTACTACTACTACTACAACTACTACAACTGCTACTACTACTGCGACTACTACAACTGTTACTTATGCTACAACTACTAATACTAACGATACAACCACTGTGTACAGAGTGTACACAAACTCCCTGCTTTTCAATACACTTCTCATATAAATAGTGAAACTTTTCAATTCCAGTCAGAAAGAAGCTTTGAGGTCATTGTCGTCGTCATAGCGCTTTCTGCGAAGGTATTTTTTCAGTTTAGGAAACACATGGAAATTACTTGGTGCCAGGTCTGCCGAGTATGGGGGGTAAGGAAGCTCTTCGAACCTACATTGTCGCACAACAGCCTTTGCAAGTCGAGAAGTGTGAGAAGAGGCATGGTCACGAAGTAGTAGAACTCCAGCGGTCAGCATTCCTCGCCTCTTTTCTTCCATATAATCTCTCAGGCGATGAAGCGAATCAGCACAGTTGGCACTGGTTTTCGTCTTTTGACTTTCTAAGTAATCAACGAGGATCACACCCTTTGTATCCCAGTATACAGTGGCCATGACTTTCTTCACTGATCTTGAATTTCTTTGGTGCCGAAAAATGGGAATGGTGCCATTCCATGGATTCCGGGATCATAGTGGTTGACCCATGGTTCATCACCCGTTACTAATCTCTTTTTGAGTTCGACGAAATCCTCCGGAACTAGCCCTAAATGTTCCCTGGCAATGTCAGTTGAGAAGTTCAGAATTTGGAAACTTTGGTAACCAACGAGCAGATATCTTATTCATCTGAAAGTGTTTATGAATAATAGTTTCAATGGATCCATGGCTCAGACCTACGTCTTCCTCAAGTTCAGCAATGGTAATACGTCTATCTGACGCTTGTTCTTCCAGCCTTAAACGTAACTGCTCGGTACTCGTTCTTTTCCATTTCTGTGTCCATTTTGAGCCCTATCACGTTCAACTGGCTGTCAGTAATATACCAACGGCCTCGACAGACCAAATACACATGCAATGAACTACTCAAACAATGTACTACATTGACTGTGGCATTTATCATTGTCTAGAATTATCTTTTCTTAATGATTGTAGTCACTTTTGTATAACCTGAATAGTAATGATCGTTAGCCGTTAGTAATGTCATCAAGCCAAGTGCTTTACTTGTGTTACAAGGGGAGATAACTGCTGTTGTAGATATACAGCGCAAAACGTCAGGTTATTACGTTGGCATGTCGCCGAGAAAGTGGAGCCATTACGTGACAGATATAGGGTCAATTGTGCACTTTATGATAAAAGCATAAAACTTGGCACCGTTGTAGGTAATGACATTCCAAATATTTTCAGATATGGGGGCCACCCAAAAAGATCCAATATGGCCGCCATGGAGGAAATAAATTCTAGTATATCTCATATGATCATATAGAAAAATGAACATTTTGGAATATATTTTCCTAACACTTCATCTGTAAAGTAAATTATTGTATCACAAAATACTATAATAATTTATGTTGATTTAGGTAATCTAAGGCGGGAAAAAGAGACACCAGGTGGCGTATCCTGTTCAGTTGACACCAGGTGGCGTATCCTGTTCAGTTGACACCAGGTGGCGTATCCTGTTCAGTTGACACCAGGTGGCGTATCCTGTTCAGTTGACACTAGGTGGTGTATCTTGTTCAGTCGACACCAGGTGGCGTATCTTGTTCAGTTGACACTAGGTGGCGTATCTTGTTCAGTCGACACCAGGTGGCGTATCCTGCTCCACCTGTGCTGACACTGTAACTCAGTGCTTCTACGCGGGTGTCTCTGTGTGAACCCTCAAGCAAACTGTTCATGTGTCAGTTGATCATGCAACAACATTCAATGCTTCAGTCAAGCTTTGAGAAAGCTTAATGGTGGACATGGACGCGCTAATGACCGAAAAGAGGTCCGATGTTTCGACTTGTGCCAGATGTTCCCGTGTTTTTACATGTGAACAATTGACTTGCCACTGCATGTATTTGTGACGGGTGGCATCGGTGGGACAGGACACGCTCACCTGTCGTGAACACCTGGTATCGTCACTATTTCAATAGTGACTCTTAAACACATGCTCATGACATCTATCTATCTATCTATCTATCTATCTATCTATCTATCTAACTATCTAACTATCTATATATCCTGATTTGTTTTTTCTCGTCAAAGGTTTATCTAATTGCTGTAAATATGAACATTATTATAGGTAACCTGCTTCAACACAAATATAGACATATTATTTTGATCTTTTATGCATTATGCAAAATTATGAAATTATTTAATAGTTAATTTCACACAGTGCCTTCATGTGCTGCCGTAGCCGAGGTTGACAATTACACGTTCTCCAATAAAACGAACCCCACTGGCGACACATGTTTTCGAAAAAATGAAATTATTCACTTGTCAATAAATGGAAAAAGTAGTTCCGTCCATTCCAAGTGGAAATTAATTCAAACGTTGGTTCCAGATAAGGCATAGTTGACAAACAACTCGCCATTCCTGAAAAATAACGGAGCGTTCAAACAATAGAATGACGTCACAGATGTGTTTTAATAACGTCTAATGTTACGTCGGACTTTCCTTCCACATACAGCTGTAACGTCGTGATTTAACCGGAATAATGTTCACAACGGTGTTACAATCCAAACACACCCAAAGCCAAGTGCTTTCTTATGATTATATATTGTGTTTTGTCGCTTATTTACATAGCATTTTAACAGACATTATCTCTCAGCCGACGAATGTGTACTGTAGTATTGGCAGGAAATCAATAAATAAGCTGGCATATGTCAGCCTTGAATAGAAATCGAACATATGCGCGAGTCTGAATTGGTCCTTAAAGATAAGGAATTACGTTTCGGCCTGGACTAAGGAATGTATGCACCAGTGTTAGGTATATGTAAACTTAATGGGTAATTGCAGATCTGATTTTAATACCGTTGGTGACAAGCAGTTTGTGTATGTATTTGCCATGAGCTCAACCTCACCGGTTTTCATAGGCTGTGCTCTGTACGTTTGTCTTTGTGTTTTTGTTTGTCTCCCAGCGTCTGTCTACTATAGAAAGGACAGAAAGACCTTAACTATATGTTTCAAACAATATTACATGTATAATTGTCTGTGCATAACTGCTATTCGTGACGATTCGGGGTAGAATAGGTCCTCAGCAACCCATGCTTGCCGTAAAAGGCGACGATGGATGTCGTAAGAGGCGACTAAAGGGATCGGGTGGTCAGGCTCGCTGACTTGGTTGATGCATGTCATCGTATCCCAATTGCGGATATTGATGCTCATCATATCAATCACTGGATTGTCTGATCCAGACTCGATTATTTACAGACTGCCGTCATATAGCTGGAATATTGCTGATTTGGGCGTTAAACAACAAATAAACAAGGGACGCATAACTGCTATGTTGTGGCAGCCTGTAAATAGTCCAGCCATGGCCATATAACAAGTGGTTGACATTGTACGTCCCACGTCGTCGGGTACGTCGTCACGCAGTCAACCAACGGATCCAACGTTCTTACTGCTCGCGACAAGTAGTGTGGTAGTCACCCCGGTTAATACGTGGGCGATCAGCTAAACCATTCACAATAGAACCCAACGCACGAAACAGATGTTGCAGTCTTTCAGTGTAGGGCTTGAAATAAACTAACACATACATGTTTACTGTGGTATTGAACAGTTTATCAGTTGTATCACGGCTGTCGGCTTGATGTGGGAGAAAAGCCTAAAATGATGACGGTCTTAAACGTTTAACACTTTAATGATTGAAAGTTTAATGAAAATCACAAGCACGTGCCGGGTTGGGTGCTCACAACATAGGAGCATCAGCAGAACGATCCTGGGATCTGAAACCAAGCCTAAGGGACACAACTCTGACAGAGAATAGCGGTGGTTCATACGACTGACCCACCAGTGCCTCCTGCTTGGGTATGCAGTAGAATGTCATGACTGACTAGAGTTGAGGTATTGGCACATAAATCGCAATGAACTGTGTCGCAATATTGAGAACTGTATTGCGATACATGTTGCCAATCGTATTGGGGCCCAAACTATATATATTTGTTCTGTTCAGGGGGTACTGCTTCTTTCAATAATCAAGACTTCAGATTGCGAGATGTGTATGGATAAACGAGACAACCTATTACGTCATCAATATGGAACGTTAATGTGAACAGCTTGAAGCGTGTGCTGTTAACATGGTTTAGATAGGAAACCAGTCCATCCAAATGCCTCCAGATAGTAGATATTAATATAAATATATATTAGTTCTTCTGTGGCTGCGTCAAGTAAATATTGATACGCAAGGGTTGTATTGCAATATGTGAATTGCTGATGGTCGTATTGCAATATGCCGGTATACCAGTTATATTGCACAGCCATATGACTGACACGACGCAGCAGCTCAGTGAGTGAGTGAGTGAGTTGGGCTTAACGCCGCTTGTAACAGTATTCCAGTTATATCACGGCGTGTCAGCTTAATGTGGGAGGAAAGCCCAGAGTGATGCAGGTCTCAGATGTTTACCACTTCGGTGAACCCACAATCACAATCTGGCGTGTCCAAGGGACGCAACTCTGCACAGCGAATCGCGGCGCCTTAGACGCCTGGGCTGCCCGTGCCCCCCCCCCCCCCCCCCCCCCCCCCCCCCCCGCAGCAGCTTAGAGCAACGGAACGACTGGTACTACGAGACAAGGGGACCCTATCACCTGACTTGACAAAACGAGTGATACCGCAGTGATATTTAAGTTCCAAGTCAACTTCAGTGGAGATTCGTTACATCAATAACTCATCTCACGGATATCTGAATCACTTCCTTGTTTCTAACCTGTCCATCTCCTGACGACCTTGTCTTGAGGGCCGATTTAGGACCTTGTTGATTGTGTGTCATTGTGCACCTACATAGTGGTTCATGCTGTCAACCACTGGGTGCCTGCTCCAGGCGCAACTACTGACAGACGTTGTTATAACTCAAAACGTCAAAAAATCCGACGTAAACGCGATTACACGCAGAAACAAATTCCGTAAAAGGCAAAATAGTGATGACTGTCGGTTCAATGACATCAGTTCTTTACTGTTGAGGTGAGGTGAGGTGAGGTGAGGTGAGGTGAGGTGAGGTGAGGTGAGGTGAGGTGAGGTGAGGTAGAATTGGGTTTAACGTCGCGTCAAAGATTATTGCACTTATATAGCGACGTGCATGTACGTGTGTGTGCTTGAACTAGTTCGGACTGATGCCTATTTATAGTGCTAGCTCACTGAGATACCATGCCGCAGTTTAACATGAATACCCCACCCAGACACAGTATACTGACTCCGAGCCGACCAGTCCTTGTTTTAGCCCCTTTATGCCGAGCGCCAGACAGGGTAACAACAAGTACCATCTTTTAACGTCTTTTGGTATGACGCGGCCGGGGATCGAGCCCCGGACCTTCTGCTCTCCGGGCGGACGCTCTACCACTAGACCACGGAGGCGGTCTTCTTTACTGGTAGCACCCGCCACTCACAACCTTTTACAAAAGTAAATGTTTGATTGCTGCCTTCAATCATTGACTGCCACTGACAATTATTACAAATAAATTCACAATAGTACTACTGACATACAAATACAAATCTGTGAATGATGTTTCTGTGAACATAATAGATACGATACAATATTGTTTGTTTACAGGTAGTCCAGGTCGCCGACGTGATGGGGTGTAGCGGAAGCACAGCCGCCACCGTGGCCACTCGGACAACACACATCAACAACTACAATGGCTACAATGACCACGCGGCTTCGAGTCACATGACCAAGGATCAACAACAGAATGGAATGCGACAACACTCTCACAACCTTCAACAGACGGTTTACCAAGATACCCAAACAACCAACCCTCAACAGATTGTACCCCCAGACACGCAAACCCACAGCGTCCACAATCAAAATGTACTTCACAGCGGTCAACACCAGATTCAACCAGTGCCGTATGGAGCTGCTCGTGAGCAGACGACAGTCAGAGACGACGAGGAGAAAGAGCTGGAAAAGTTCCGTAGACTTCAGCCGTATTCACGCAGACTGATCAGCCATCACAATAGAGATATAGGCTGGATGGAATGGGCGGTGTTTGGAAAGAGGGTCTACGATTGCAGCAGGGTCAGGAACAATACCACCTTCCTCAATATGATTATTCAAAGGAAGATGGAGCACTACCCTTCTCTATACCTGGACTTTTGGGACAAGGACATGTGGAGGAAAAATGCTCCTCTGCTGATGCAGAGTGTTGGATTCGGTAAGGTGGAAATACATCATGCATTGGCACCCTATGTGCTAGGGAGGGTTGAAGAGGTACAGCTGTCGGAGTATTGGTGTGACGTCAGGAAAGATATTGTGGGCCTCGATCAGGGGTTGAGTGAAGCAGAGGACATATCTCCTTACGAGCAAGAGTTACTGGAACAGGCGAAGAGATGGTTGGCGTCGTACAGAGATATTGACCCAAAGGAGCAGTGGCAACGGCTTGATGACCCCAATGGACTTCCGTTTCCGTTACCTGAAGACGTTGCGCGGAAACCCGATGTTTTAAGGATGTGGATTATAGAGTGGGAGCAGTTTGATACTGCAGACGCAGAACTCCTTCTCGGAGAACTGACGGAACTGTCGGATAAAACCAATGACTTGGAGGCTCATGGGGTGTTTGCTCAAACGTTACGGCCATTTGACGTGACGGAAGATTTGAAGTTTGACGATCCCGAATGGGAGATGTTGCCTGTCGGCGTCATTGCTAATGACGTCACAATCCCACATCAAGATGAAATAAATAGACAAAGAGATAAAAGAACTGATTTACAAGACACTAAGCGAATGAGTGGCAGACAAAAACAGTTGGCGCAGTATTTCATCGATAAATATGAGTGGCAGCCTGAAAAGCTCACGTCATATTTGCAGTGGGCAGATGTGATGAAAGATGGTGACTTGAGATTTGCCGCATTGTGCGAGCAGTCTTGATGACTTCATTGTTATAAACCGTGATAAACACGAAGTCTTATCTGGAGCAGAGATATTTACCTATAATATATTGTATATAGACACATTGTTTATTGTGAAACTCGGTACATCCGAATGGCACAATTAAGAGATAAACATTTTGGTGGTGTCATTGAGTATTCGGAAACATCATTAGGAACCGACGGCGTTTGCCGGAGGTTTCAAATACTAACCTTTCCAGGAAAAAAGATATCAGTAATTTTCCGCAACCCTCTCTCCCAATGTGAACTCTAAACTTTGTGAGAGTTTGGTTTAACGCCGCTTTTAACAGTAGGAGGAAAGTCTAAAGTGATTCTGACGTTTACCACCCACACACGATCAAAACTGTCAGAGAGAAGGGACATAACTCTGGAATGCTATGATGACATGCTGGAATACCTTTGCTTCATGATGCAATGAACGATGCCAAATGCTTCCAACTGAATAAATTTTGATAAAGTATTTATCAGTGTGACATGCATTTCGAAACGCCGGGTGGCACGTTTTCTAAATGTCTGTATACCTATAAATTTTTTTCTGAAAACTACAGGTTCATATGGTCGTGTATTGTTGCTACGACTGTTGTGAACATGAGAAGAATTCCACAAGAAATCAACGATTTCATTTGTTGAGCTTCAAGTATTTGTCATAACCACTACTACGGCAAGAACCTTTGAATTGAAAGGTATATTTGCATTGCTAAAAATGAGGTTTACATCTATTTTTATTTTTCTAGTACTGAGAATGAGTCAGTGAGTTGGTAGGGCAATATCACGGCGGGGGGACACTAAAAAGGGGCTTTACACATTGTATCCATGTGGGGAATCGAACCTTGGTCTTTGGCGTTACAAGCGAACGCTTTAACCTCTAGGCTACTCCACCGACCCGTACTAACAGAAATGATGTTATTGTAGTGATGGTTATACCAGATAGTCCTGGTCATATACCAGTGCCTCAATAGATAATAGGCTCGCTATTTATGTTTAACCTATTTCATATAAATACCCAATAATATAAAAGGATGTAAGGATACACTGACACCGGCGCCTGACACCAGTCCGGAAGGTCATGGGATGTAAACTTTATGAAAGGGGGATAACTCATTGTTTTAGGGGCGGACCTTTAGAAAAGATGAGTTTTCACGTTGAAATCCTCACTTGCTCTGTGGGACACATTTAGTCCGCTCGTACCATTGACCCCTGACACCAGCACTTTCGGTACGAGGGACACACAATGCGAAAGCATAACTCAATGGTGGGACAAGACGAATTTTCGCCCAAGGTTTGATGTTGGTTGGTTGGTTGTTTAACGCCGCACACAGCAATATTCCAACTATATGACGGCGGTCTGTAAATAATCGAGTCTGCACCAGACAATCCAGTGATTAATATCATGAGCATCGATCCACGCAATTGGAATCTATGGCATCAACCAAGTCAGCGAGCCTGACTTCCCGATCCCGTTAGTCGCCTCTTACGATAAGTATTGTTGTTAAGTGATCTGCCCGTGTCGCCAAAGCGTTGTGTAATGAATTCTTTATTGTGAGTAAGAACAATTCTCATTTCAGCTTCCATGGGCTGAATAGTGACCAAAGAGTCGCACTCCCTGTGGTAAAGAATATCACACTTTTGGCATATTGCTTTATTGCAGTCTCTGGAGCAGGAATCCATGACTGCATTGTGTTTTGTGCACATGGGTCTCTGCATTCTGGTGGGTTTCATGGCTCCACCAAGGTCAGCAATCACGTGGTTTGAATCACGTCCATGGCTTTCTATGACTGTATTTTGTTTTTGTTGTGGCTGATCGCATCAATCTGTGATCTGTGTTGTTGAAGTGATCTGCCCGTATCGTCCAAGCTCTGTGTACTCAATACCTTATTGTGTGTAAGAACACTTCTTATCTCAGACATTATGGACTGAATAGTGACCACAGAGTCGCATTTCCTGTGGTATGTGACACAACACTTGTGGCATATTGCTCTATTACAGTCTTTGCAGCAGAAATCCATGACTTCGTTGTGTTCCGCGCACCTCTGTCATCTGGTGACCTTCACTGCTCCACCAAGGTAGCAATCACGTGGTTTGTGCCAGGCAGAGCTGCATGCATCTTCACACATCTCTCATAGAGCGGGACACCACACTCTTGACAGAAGGAGATGGCTGGACCTCTGTCTTCAAGTGTCTGGCAGGAGTAGCAATAGCCTTCTGTATCTAAACACAACAAACTTAAAGTGCTTACAAAATTACTTACACTTGCATGTACTCTATACTATTCACTCACATTAAACTGCTCGATAACGTAATCGGATACTCACTGTTACAACAGATTACATGAACAGTGAAACCTCTCAATTTGGAAACCTTTGACAGCCTCTGCCTAAATACACCACACTGATAAACTATTTTTGTTAAGAATGTATTTTTTAAAATTGGAAATGAACATGATGACTGGGTAGGGTTTGTGGTAGGTTGGAAGTGTGTTCCGGGTGGGTCTGAAGGGTGTTTCCGGGTGGGTCTGGAGGGTGTGTTCCGGGTGGGTTGGGATGGTGTGTTCCGGGTGGGTTATGAAGGTTGGGTTTGGGGTAGGTTAGGAGGGTGTGTTCCGGGTCGATCGATACGAAAGGTGTAGGGATTGGTTTGATGGTCCTAGGGATGCGGGTGAATGGCCAGAGGATGGATTGTACACACTTGAAAGGTCATTTTTTAGGGTGTGAGTTCCTATTTAGAAACAAATATTGCATGTTTATTTACATGTAAGAAACTAATTTCTTTTGGTAAATATTTGACAGATTGTGTTGGTTTTCATCTTAAGCCTTGCTACGTGCAATTCAAATATGTATATGGGATATCTTATATTGGTAGGACACTTGTTGGACACTTGTTTAACATATTTAACTGATTTTTACAGCTACGCCCCGAGCCTTGCTACTTACCATGATCAGTACCTCCCCCACAGGCTAGAG